GTATAAAAACGGGTATAGGGGGATCATCTGCCTTCCTCTTCACGAGGGGGAAAAGCAAATTGCTATCATCAGCTTTAGTTGCCAAAGGTCAATTCCTGTAAGGTGGAAGTCCAAAAAGGCTTCTATCCTCCAACCTTTTTACCAACCCTCACACCAACTCTCCCTCCCAAGGCCTTCTGCTTCTTGGCTGGGTTTGATAATTCATTGCAGTAGCCACCCAGAGGTTACAGAGAATACTCAAAATTACGGAGTTTATTAGGGAAGTTAACAGGTTACAGTTAAAGACCAGAAATGTTCGGGATCTAGTTCTTTGGTCAGGTCAGCTTCTCTGTTGTGCTTTCGGTTCCTTGGTCTGCTCACTGCCCTGGTTTGATAAGGTTACTACAAAGCTCGTTTCTCACTGCCAGTCAGTCTTCAAGGGGCACTCCGCTGCCCCAGAAGTCCCACTCAGCCTGGTGGTACTTGGCTCTGTGGGTCAGGAAATCGAGCTTCTTTCTTAAGCAAGCCTCCTGGTTGAAGGGACTCAGCTTTAATCACTCTGGTCCCGGAAGCCCATCACTTTCTCTTGTGCTGTGCCGCTTCTCTGGTGTCCTAGATTTCTGTTCCAGGATTGAGGAGATCCAGCATGTGTGGCTCTTGGGGGGTTCAAAAGATGTGCGACCCTCCTGACTTTGCTTTCTTGATTGTAGTGAGAAAAACCCTTCCCCCCATCCCCTGCTTCTTGGTTTTGGAGATGGCTCATTTTATACTCAGAAGAATGGTAAAATGGACTAATCCCATGTAAGAGTTCTCAGGTTTTACAGTTACAACCCTGTTGACCAAACCGAACAACAAACTGATGCCATCAAATCGATACCCTCATAGGGACCCTATGGGACAGAGTAGAACTGTCCCTTGTGAATTTCTGAGACTTTAACTCTTTATGGGAGTGGGAAGCCCCTTCTGTCCCCCACCCTGTTGACAGTCATTCAGAAATGAATCATATCACTGGAGACACAGTTCGGGAACTGCCTGATCTGACCCTATCACACTGAGCTGAAACACTTAAGGGTGTGCAACAGAGCAGCAAGGGGAGCAAAGCAATGAGGTCCCTGGGAAATACCAAAAATAGACATTGTGCCCAGG